GCAAGGTAGATGATATTTACCAAAGTTAGGATAACTTATGGTCGATGCTTGTATACACGCCATAGGACGCTTGTGTGCTGTTGTTTTTTGACATGAGACCAGTTGGTCCTATCATACACTGGTCACAGTGGCTCAATGTTGGAACCGAAGAGTGTTTGAAGACACCCTCACGTGTGAAGGTTCTGGTCAGAAACCTCTACACAGGTTCTCCTGCAGGATCCCAAGGTTTTCTCAGCCCAGAGAGGAGATACAATCCTTCCAGAGAGTTCTGGGTCTGTCTCACGGTCTCTTGTGGGTCCCCGGATGACGGGTCTAACGTTGAGCCTGTCCCACCTATGAAGGAAGATCAMTTCAGCCACTTGGATCCAGGATCTGCTTTGGTCACGATCCAAACCTCAAGACCACTGTTGAGGTTTGGAACGTAGACAGACCAGGAAATCCTTTTGACTTAACTTTTTCTTCACCACGACCGACCGAAACAACATCCTCATTACTGAGACCCTGCTGGCCTGCATGTGGACTAAAGTATGTCCAAATCGGACTCAGCTTGTGCTAGCTTGAAGGGAAAACAACAAAAAATTGAAGCCATTTTTGCACAAAATCCTGTTTTTTGACCATCACTCAGAAACAAGACGTCCAGATACCCGAACTTCTGTGAGTTCATGTAAAAATAATTTGCTCCATCCAATAGACCCTCTTTAAGAGCACACCTGGTTTAGATCACAGTGAAAGAAGAGAAACTGATGAAAATGTTATTTATCACAAGTGATGTCATCATCAGCCCTAAATGCAGATATAAACCCAACATTTGGCAAGTCGCCAATCTACCAGAGATTTTACCCATAAGTTCATTTATTTTATTTATAAAAAGATCACAGAGACTAACAAACAGTTTGAAAACAAAARGATTTTTTGCAAGCTTTGTTTTTTTAGTGCAGGTGTTTTTACATTTAACCCAACAGGTGCAAAGATTTTATTCAGTTTCTCCTCAGATGTGTGCAGTCAGTGACTTCCTGTTCAACATCTTCTACTTTCAGAGCTCCTGTTTGTGCAGGAGATCACAGAATGATACATCCCGTTAGCGTTAGCTCGGGGTGGTGTTAGCAGCAGCAGGCAGCCCTTAAACGTGAGGTCATCCAGGTGAGCAGATATCAAACAAGTGCACAGAGGTCAAACAGGTGAGCAGAGTTCAAGCAAGTGAGCAGAGGTCAAACAGATGGACAGAGGACAAAGAGGTGAGCAGAGGTCACCCAGGTGAGCAGAGGTCAAACAGATGGACAGAGGACAAACAGGTGAGCAGAGGTCACCCAGGTGAGCAGAGGTCAAACAAGTGAGCAGAGGTCAAACAGATGGACACAGGACAAACAGGTGAGCAGAGGTCACCCAGGTGAGCAGAGGTCAAACTGATGGACAGAGGACAAACAGGTGAGCAGAGGTCACCCAGGTGAGCAGAGGTCAAACTGATGAGCAGAGGTCAAACAGATGAGCAGAGGTCAAACAGGTGAGCAGAGGTCAAACAGGTGAGCAGAGGTCAAACAGGTGAGCAGAGGTCAAACAGATGGACAGAAGACAAACAGGTGAGCAGAGGTCAAGCAGGTGAGCAGAGGTCACCCAAGTGAGCAGAGGTCAAACAGGTGAGCAGAGGTCAAGCAGGTGAGCAGAGGTCAAGCAGGTGAGCAGAGGTCACCCAAGTGAGCAGAGGTCAAGCAGGTGAGCAGAGGTCAAACAGGTGAGCAGAGGTCACCCAAGTGAGCAGAGTTCAAACAGGTGAGCAGAAGTCAAACAGGTGAGCAGAGGTAAAAAAAAAAGTGAACAGATATCAAACAGGTGAGTAGAAGTCAAACAGGTGAACAAAGGTCAAACAGGTGCGCATGTTTGTGTTTCCAGCAGCAGCGTCACAGGAAGCTCTGACCCATGTCTGCAGGATATTCAGGATGATTGTGTCAGTATTTATCTGTGAGAAAGTCTTTTTTTCATTAAAGCTTATTTTATTTTTTAAAAGCTCAAAAAAAAAAAGAGAATAAAGTTACTTTTTTACTCTGATTGATCCAAATGAAGCTGATCTCAGCAGAAAAGTTGTTCCAAACATCAGCATCTCCCCTCCGGCTCAGTGCCACACCTGTGCCACACCTGTGCCACACCTGTGACACCTGCAGGCCATGCAGCAGTGGACGAAGCTTCCATTTGTCTGGACAAACGTGGAAATCCACTGTAAACACGTGCTGCCAGATTTCTCCCAGGGAGGACCCTGAGGTCCCAGTTTAGGTTCCGGGGTGAGAGTCGGGAGGACCCGGCTGCACCAGCGTCTCGTCCACGGTGACCACGGTGTCCTCCGGTCCACTCAGGTCCAGGCAGCTGTGGTGGTTCAGCTGGACGTGGTTGGTATCCAGCAGCCGAGGCCTCTCGGCCAGCTCCGTCATGTTGCTGGTGATGCAGTTGATCTCTGGGTGGTTGTGGCTGGCGGCTCGGCGGGAGCTCAGTGTCCAGTCTGAGGGGACACAAAGGGAGGGTTAGTGTCTGTCTGAGGACGTCAACGAGAAAGGTCATGACTGTGTTCGATGCAAGAGAGAGATTTGATACAACACAGGCGCCTCAGATGATGTGACAGCCAAACGAACCAAAAACAACAGATTCCAGTTTGTTAATGTTAATAATGAATCTTCTTCTTACACCAAAGTTGGTCATGGAGTTCCTCAGGGTTCAGTGCTTGGACCAGTCCTCTTTACTTTARACATGCTTCCATAAGGTAAGGTTACCATGGGATAAATGTCCATTGTTATGCTGATGATACTCAGTTATATTTATCCATGAAACCTGATGAATCCAATCAGTTACTTAAACTACAAGCATGTCTTACAGACATAAAAACATGGACGACTCTTAACTTTCTGCTTCTAAACTCAGATAAGACAGAGGTTATGGTTTTTGGACCTGAACATCTTAGGGATCAACTTTGCAGCCTTTCACCTCCTCTGGA